GGGTGAGACACATATCCGAAAATCACCCAGATCGGACCAGGGGTTCAGGAATTATAAAGGGTTAAAGTTTTGACCGACTGCATGGCAAAAGTATCCGAAAATAGTTCCATGTACTTTGGCCCTGCAGTCGGTCACAGAAAAGGGAATGAATCACACGAATTGCCTGGGTTATGGAGCTTGGGGAGGATTCATATGAATCCCCCTGTTCGTGGGATCCTTTCTACCGATCGGCGGGCCGTTCGGTAGTTTCTGCACGAATTGCTGGAAGTCTGGAGGTCTCAGCGGTGTTTGCTTAGTCAAGTGTCCGATTTTAGTTCCAGACACTCGACGGCAAAACACCGCTGTTCGGGAGTTTAAGATGGCCGCCGCCACGTGTTCGTTTCCCGAATGGCGGCCACCCAGAGGACACAACACATTGTAGCCAATTACCCATTTGCAACATTGTTGCAAACGGTAATTGGAGGCACACTTACTCCCGGGTGGTCTGGTTGTTCGGTAGTTTCACCCAATATAATGAATGAAGTGGTTCTACCGAACAATCAGGGGAATGCTGCATTCACATAACACTTTATACCGAACACATAATATTAAATACAGCCTGAATGCAATTTGCTACACAGTCTTAAAAAGGCATTATTCCTAACAGGCAGAATATGTTCACGGAGGGCCCTTAAAGGGCCAGTAGCAGCAATATAAAAATGTCACATGCCCAAATATTGCATACAAAAGTACGAATTCACAAGGGGGCCATAGTCAGATGGCAGGAGGCTGGCAACCAGGCTTCTCCAGGGCATAGTGGCGAGGTTGGTTTCGCCACATACCTTTTCTTCCTAATTTCTTGGATCTGCTGTATCTATAAGATATCTCTGGAGGACATGTGGTTTTAACAGGACAAGTGGTTTTAACCCCTTAAGGACCAAACTTCTAGAATAAAAAGGGAATCGTGACATGTCACACGTCATGTGTCCTTAAGAGGTTAAAGCCAGATGTGGAGGAGACTACAGTGACCCACGGTGTGCAAATGTTCGACCTGAAGAACCAGGTCTATGTTGGTGCTGGAGGATAAATGATAGAGGAAACACCTGAATATAAGAGGCTATGACCGAACTGCCATAATTCCTACGCAGGCTATATATGGCCTTGCTATCAACCAAACAAGCGAAGGTTATACTACTAAACTGCATGTTCGGCCTGCCAAAACCTCAGTTGGCCAAAGCTTCTGTCTCCAGTGATGATCTGATCAAATTCCAAGATGGGCAAGACATTGTCATTGGGCAAATGCCCCTAGAGGGAAATCCCCATGTAAGTTTGCAGGGATGGAACCTATCTTTCTCTCGGACTTCTCATGTCTGACTCTGCACTTTGACCTCTTATAGCGGCTCTTTCAACACATGGTCTAAAGTACCAATGGGGTACCCCATGTTCCCTGCTTATCAATAACAACACAGAGTGTCTGATGTCTCAGAGACAGTCAATGTCCTGTTTAAACTGGGCATTGGACAATCTCTCAACCCAGAACCTCGGTGATAATGGAGACTGCTGCTCCCTTATGAGACTCTGTAAGAATCCCCCCATTTATTTCTGCAATTAGTAGTGCTCTGAGCATAGCAATTACCTGAACATGGGGTTTATTTATTTTCTTGTCCTATTTTTCATATCTTTGGCCACATACAAATTATTATTGAACCCTAATGCCTGGCCTATAAAGGCCAACGTCCAGTATGTCCCAACCATGCTAGCTCCTAATTCTAGCACCCTCCCCCCAGGTCCGATTGTTCTCTCTCATATTTGAATCTACTTCTGGGAGTACATTAGCTTTTCAGGTTCTCACTGTTTAGATTTTTTATGGGCTTTTTCTTTATATTTTTGATTCTTGCGTGAAAGTTTCACATTATTTTATATTTTGCCATCTTAAGTCTGTTTCAATGGAGTATGTGCTCTCTATAACAAAACCCACAGCCTGACAAACTCTGCATTGCTATTGTGCTATGTGTTTGTCATTACATGCATTTATTGTCGTATTATGATATGTCAATCATACGTCTGACTTAACTAAAGAATAAAAAAACAGCACTATTTTATTTCTGCAACTGTCACTAGTCTAATACTATCCTTACCTTTTTGTGTCATTTTCAGGGCTGCCATCAGAAATGTTGGGACCCCTGACACAGCTCTAGGTCTGGGCCCCCCGGTGCCTGCACCCGAGTCTGCCCAAAGTGCTGCCCGGTCGCCCACAGGGATGCAGTGTTGACTCACGGGCCGATTAAGAGTTTTGCATTTGCGTGACATCACAATGCCCACCATATGATCTGCCATGTTAACTAGCGCTTCCAGTGCTGTGCCGCTGTGTTTACATTAAAAGGCCACACGGGGACGGAAAAAACTGAACACCAGAACCACTACATTAAGCTGCTGTGGTTCTGGGGACTATGAATGTCCCTTAATGTGAAAGTGCAAAATGAGAGATAAGTGCCACGAATAATATACTAGATTGCCTGCCTTTACAGCCAGATGAGGATGATGATGGCCTCTAGCTTGCCGTCTGGCTCCACTGGTCTGAGGAGGTGTAGAACAGGCTCTCTGGAGGCGGTTTGTAACTGTGGTCACAAAATCACTGTTCTGGAGGCGGGAAGCAGCTCCATTTTTTGAGGGGCCCTTTACACAGCTCAAGGTCTGGGTCCCAGGGTCCACCTTCATGTTCCACCAATGAGTTTGTTCACAGGGAGTGGAGTGTGTGTGTGTGGGGGATGTCCTGATGTGTGTAAGGAATGCATTGTGTGAATCTGTGTTTGTATGTGTAAGGGCTGCAAGATGAGTTTGTGTATGTATGGGATGCAGTGTGTGCGTCTGTAAGGGATGCATTGAGTGTGTGTACACAGAGGAGAGTGCTCCCTCGCATGCCGGCCCGCCCGCCAGGTGTCAGCAGGGCCAGCCCCCCAGGAGAAGAGGCTGGCCCAGTGGGTACATACCGGGGTCGCAGGGCCCCCTGCGACCCGGTATGTACCCACTGAATCTGGGGCCCGGACGACCTGAGCAGTCCCCCAGGACCGCCGGGCCCATGACAACCGTTGCGGTTGTCATGCCCTGATGGCGGCCCTGGTCATTTTACCCCACTCCCTCTAGCATGTAAGCTCATTGAGTAGGGCCCTCAACCCCTCTGTTCCTGTGTGTCCAACTTGTCTGGTTATAACTACATGTCTGTTCATCCACCCATTGTAAAGCGCTGCAGAATTTGACAGCGCTCTATAAATATCATAATAATAATATTAATAATAATAATAATAAATTAAAAACATTTGACGAATCCGTGTGAAAATGAACATTAATATCCAGTTGGTCCACAAATGGAAAAGATAAACAGACACAATTTTAACTGATAAGAATTAATACTGCTTCTCCCACATATAACCAGATAGCATGAGACGACTACAACATAAAAATAGCCATTCACACAATGTAACCACGCACAAATGCCCCGTAGAAAGATCTAAAATGATTGATTAAAAATACTCTCATACAACTGTAACGGGTCAAAGGGCGGACACTGATTTAAAATATTAATCTCTGTAGTTTTTTCTGATGTATTTTTGGAGATGACTATTGCTATTTTCCACATTTTAGGAAAGCTGGAGTGGGATTCAAGGTGACGTGACCTTCAAATGGGTAGAGTCTGACAGATGCAACAACGCAGCAAATGGTACGATGAAGAGAGGGATTGAGGGCCTGCTCAGTGAGTTTACATGTTAGAGGGAGTGGGGTATAGTGACAGTAACAGAGGGATTGAGGGCCTGCTCAGTGAGTTTACATGTTAGAGGGAGTGGGGTATAGTGACAGTAACAGAGGGATTGAGGACCTGCTCAGTGAGTTTACATGTTAGAGGGAGTGGGGTATAGTGACACAGTAACAGAGGGATTGAGGGCCTGCTCGGTGAGTTTACATGTTAGAGGGAGTGGGGTATAGTGACACAGTAACAGAGGGATTGAGGGCCTGCTCAGTGAGTTTACATGTTAGAGGGAGTGGGGTATAGTGACACAGTAACAGAGGGATTGAGGGCCTGCTCAGTGAGTTTACATGTTAGAGGGAGTAGGGTATAGTGACACAGTAACAGAGGGATTGAGGGCCTGCTCAGTGAGTTTACATGTTAGAGGGAGTGGGGTATAGTGACACAGTAACAGAGGGATTGGGGGCCTGCTCAGTGAGTTTACATGTTAGAGGGAGTGGGGTATAGTGACACAGTAACAGAGGGATTGAGGGCCCTGCTCACTGAGTTTACATGTTAGAGGGAGTGGGGTATAGTGACAGTAACAGAGGGATTGATGGCCCTGCTCAGTGAGTTTACATGTTAGAGGGAGTGGGGTATAGTGACACAGTAACAGAGGGATTGAGTTCCCTGCTCAGTGAGTTTACATGTTAGAGGGAGTGGGGTATAGTTACACAGTAACAGAGGGATTGAGTTCCCTGCTCAGTGAGTTTACATGTTAGAGGGAGTGGGGTATAGTGACACAGTAACAGAGGGATTGAGGCCCTGCTCAGTGAGTTTACATGTTGGAGGGAGTGGGGTATAGTGACACAGTAACAGAGGGATTGAGGGTCCTGCTCAGTGAGTTTACATGTTAGAGGGAGTGGGGTATAGTGACACAGTAACAGAGGGATTGAGGGCCCTGCTCAGTGAGTTTACATGTTAGAGGGAGTGGGGTATAGTGACACAGTAACAGAGGAATTGAGGGCCTGCTCAGTGAATTTACATGTTAGAGGGAGTGGGGTATAGTGACACAGTAACAGAGGGATTGAGGGGCCTGCTCAGTGAGTTTACATGCTAGAGGGAGTGGGGTATAGTGACAGTAACAGAGGGATTGAGGTCCTGCTCAGTGAGTTTACATGTTAGAGGGAGTGGGGTATAGTGACACAGTAACAGAGGGATTGAGGGCCTGCTCAGTGAGTTTACATGCTAGAGGGAGTGGGGGTATAGTGACACAGTAACAGAGGGATTGAGGGCCCTGCTCAGTGAGTTTACATGTTAGAGGGAGTGGGGTATAGTGACACAGTTACAGAGGGATTGAGGGCCTGCTCAGTGAGTTTACATGTTAGAGGGAATGGGGTGTAGTGACACAGTAACAGAGGGATTGAGGGCCTGCTCAGTGAGTTTACATGTTAGAGAGAGTGGGGTATAGTGGCACAGTAACAGAGGGATTGAGGGCCTGCTCAGTGAGTTTACATGTTAGAGGGAGTGGGGTATAGTGACACAGTAACAGAGGGATTGAGGGCCCTGCTCAGTGAGTTTACATGTTAGAGGGAGTGGGGTATAGTGACACAGTAACAGAGGGATTGAGGGCCCTGCTCAGTGAGTTTACATGTTAGAGGGAGTGGGGTATAGTGACACAGTAGCAGAGGGATTGAGGGCCTGCTCAGTGAGTTTACATGTTAGAGGGAGTGGGGTATAGTGACACAGTAACAGAGGGATTGAGGGCCTGCTCAGTGAGTTTACATGTTAGAGGGAGTGGGGTATAGTGACACAGTAACAGAGGGATTGAGGGCCTGCTCAGTGAGTTTACATGTTAGAGGGAGTGAGTTATAGTGACACAGTAACAGAGGGATTGATGGCCTGCTCAGTGAGTTTACATGTTAGAGGGAGTGGGGTATAGTGACACAGTAACAGAGGGATTGAGGGCCCGCTCAGTGAGTTTACATGTTAGAGGGAGTGGGATATAGTGACACAGTAACAGAGGGATTGAGGGCCCTGCTCAGTGAGTTTACATGTTAGAGGGAGTGGGGTATAGTGACAGAGTAACAGAGGGATTGAGGGCCCTGCTCAGTGAGGTTACAAAGTGGGGCATAGTGACACAAAAGGTAAGGGAAGTATTATGAATAAGAATGGTAGAGTTCAACTGCAACTATTGTTACATTGTGTCAGGTAGGAATCTTATGTTTGCTGAATTAGGAAAAAGCAAACTAAACATTTTGAAAGTCCATGTCATATTGTTGAGATGTGTTTAATTGTTTTTTAGTAAGGACACCTCCATTTACCAGCCCGGTACCAGGTAATCCATTAACCATACTGTAGCGGAGCCCTAGTCCTAGCAGGGACACTCTTCTGCTGGTTACTCTAAAATAAAATCTGGAACAAGTATAACACTCCAATGGAACAGCCAAACACAGTAAAATAATCCAGGAATCTCCTACCTCCTCCCCAGCAACTGGACGACACTCAACTCATGGGGTATAACTGGTTTTAATGGAGCCACACACAGCCCTTTATGAATCGCCAACAAGGGGTTATCTTGGTACACATTCCAGGGGCCTTCCCCACTGGACCTGAGAGTTGACTGAGACAAAATACACAACATAATTATACTAACTCTCAGGTCCAGGACATTTACAGTAAGAACACCCCAAAACATTCAGTTAACAACAAGGTACCTCCTCAAGTCCTATATCCCCGGATAGCCTGGATCTGAGCACCCAACATATCCAAAAATTGCTCAGATCCCACGAACGCAGCCGGGGTATAGTTTAGATCGACCACAAACAAGGCGCCTGCCCAAAAGGGTTCCATGAAATCAGGCTGTGCAGTCGGTCTCTTTCAGGAGCACAAAAGATACTAAAACTAACGAATGAACTGTCTGTGTGCTCATCTCATGTATCTTGTTCAGGAGTATGCTCCCCACGAACGCCACTCTGTTCGTATGGATTCCACCAAACATAACCGGAGGTGGAAGTCCCAGTGGCATTTGCGCTGTTGAATGTCCGATTTTAGTTCCATACAATTGACGACCAAACAAAGCTGTCTGTTTATGGTTAAAGATGGCCGCCGCCACATGTTCGCAAATACCAATGGCAGCCACCCAGCCAACCGCTTAGGATGTTAGTGTTATTGCGGTTTATGGAGGTGTTAACTAAGCGGCACACTTCACATATGGGTGGTCTGGTTTTGGTGATTGTTCAGTTGTCGAACTGAATACTATTAATATGGGAGGTGAATGCAATTTACCGAACAACCATGCGAACAGGGTAAATAGTTGGATAATCCAGGGACAGGGTGATCTGTGCCCACACAAAATATAAATACAAACATACGAAATAACAGGGGTGAAAGATACAGACAGCCCATAGAAGTCAAAAGTCCAGTTCCAAAGGTTAATTCTGCTACAAATGCATTAACAGAGGAAAGCAGAGCTATGCTTCAGTCTGGTTAATAGTAACTTGGGTGATATTGTATCCCAGTCCGCCTCCTGCAGGATCAGATAAGAAGAACGTTCACACACGCCAACATGCTCTATTTTTAACCTATAACCCAATGAGCAAGGAGTCTCATCTAAATAGTAGCAATAGAGTGGACCCCTGAATATTTTCTGTCCCCCCACCATACAAGCTGTGATAATTTGGGAGCAAGCTGTACATCAGTCTCCCAGTTCATTTGTACCACTGTGGCAAACATAGCCACTTGGACAATATCCAGAGACTGTACCTTTAAGGGTTGCCTGTATGTCGGGGGAGATATGTGTTTAACTACGTATAATGTATGCTGGCTGTAATGACGTGTAATTACTGTATTGGCTATCTGCCGAATGCAGATAGCTATATGTGCTGTATTTTCTTTCGTTTCACGAACTGCACTTTTGCGGGCCGTTCGTGAACCGAAAATACCCCCATGTAGTAGCCCACACACTTAGAGGCGTGTGGCGCTTGTTAACCGATTGCAAACGGTAATTAGAGGCTCTCCTAGGTGGCCGCCATCTTGGATCCTTTGTTCTCTCAGCGGTGTTTGGTCGTCGAGCGCATGGTACTAAAAACGGCTACTCGACGGCGCGAACACCGCTGAGCTTCCAGGCCGTTCGGGAGTTCTGGGCCGTTCGGTATTTGGTTCCCTAGAATGCAATCGGTATTTTGAACATGTATTTTAATGAATGTGTTTTTCGTGCGGCATTCGGTTGTTTTAGCTGGGATCTGAGCGGTAATCTCACGAAGGATGCGCTCAAACCCCAGCTATCTACCGAACGTCCATTCGTTTAAATAGACTGCATATTCGAAAAGTTATGGATTTTAATATAAATTGTCGGTTCTGCTGCATGGAGGGATAATCCACTTAACGGTACATTCCTGTGGGAGGATCCCTCTCGTGCAGCAGTGCCTGATGGGAGAAATGTCTTGTACAGTAAGTTCCCCATGTAGTCCACTCTGGGAATGCCCCTGGGAGGGAACTCAGGAAACCCCTTGCATGGGGACTTGTATAAATTGTGGAGCTGAAATAAAAGACCTCAGTTGACTCTCAGAACTGTGTTTCGTCCGGTTACTGGGAGATTTGGGATATTGCCTTGCTTTTTCCAGCGCTTGACTGTGGATTACTTCCTGAACCGGCGGAATTCGTGGATTTAATATTGGCGTTCCGCTACAACCACCATTCCTTTTATCTTTTTATTTTAACTGTTTGTCTACTTGTGTCTCAGTCCAGAACGTTCAAACTGAATTTTCTTCTTGAACCTTAAAATCCCTCTAAGCAGCAATCTGCCGGCTTTGTCATCGTTTCTGAGGTACAGACCAGCCAGCCTGCATGTACCCCTATTATGCTGGATGTGACACATATCTTTGTTCTGATTTTTAAATTTACAGTCTGGACTCCGGAATATTCTGACTGACAGCAGAAGTTTCAGATTATGTCATGGAAATGTTCTATCCTCTCCATAAAGCGGCATTATTAGTCGGACATGAAGCGTTAACGCTGGTTGGTTTTATTTGACTCCATTTTTCTCTTCGTACTAGGAGAACAAGGAAAGTCTGCTAGCCTTCCACGAGCCGCGATTTAAATCCCTCACTGTCTGTTTCCTCTAAAGTTTCCTTCTGGCAATATTTCAAATAAACTTTCAAAATTACTTTTTCAGGCCTCACATGGATTACTTTAGCAAAAGTAAATCAAGTTTAACAGGAAAACGTAGCAGAAACATCGCTGACCTGCTTGGCGCCCAGCTGCAGCTACTGTTACGGCCTGTCAATCACGGCAGCGTTAGGAATCCCATTTCTAGTGAATTAGGAGAAATACTAACATGGAGGGGATTTCTCTAAACTCCAATTGTAATGAATTGATAATGGTAAAATCTAGGATTAAATAGCCTAGCTGTGAATATTGACAAGTTTGAGAATATGTGTCTATTAAGAAATGTCTAAATATGACATTTTTGACTAAATTTTGCATTTGGATTTCAGTTTACTATAATTCAAAGAGAGTTTATGAATCTTAAAGCTTCAACAGACCCCCCATCGTAATGAAATAATTTCTTCTTTCTTAATAGACACATTTTATAAATATGAATTATTGCATGTGTATTAAATTGTCATTGTGGGTTCTGTAAAAAGAGCTGATCATTACAAAGGCTGTCTATTGTTTCCAAACCAGAATACGTGCGTACCCCACCAGCTTCACGGCAGAGTATTTAGAATGAAGTCACGTTTTAAGGTAGGCTTACACTGTATTTGGCACAGGGTTACACAAATGATACTCCTGAAATCTGGGACTTTGAACAAACTCTGTTAAGTAAATTTTCACTCTTTGGAAATTTTATTAATAAATTAAGAATCGCTGATCCAGTCATGTTTAGATATTAAATAGGCCTCCGGAGATTGTGCTTTGCTTGCTAACATATTGAAAACTGTAATTCTAAGAATTATATTTTTATAGCATGGTCAGATCTCCAAACTTTTGCAAAGACTATAGATTATTTTGTCTAGAGCTTCTATAACTGTGTGTAATGAGGGACAAATACTGTAATAATAATTATTTCAGAGTATTTTACCAGGGATTATAAATTGAGAGTTGTCTAGAATGCCCCAGGGTATAAATGCAGAGCTTACTTAATGGTACAATCCACTGTTAAAATAGAAAAATATATAAAAATCATTATTTAGTAGATATACCCCAATAAAAGCATGCATGTGTTTAATTCTTCATTCTTTGACTGGGGATATATATCTATAAAACATCTTTAAAAAGCTGCTGATCTCTTGTCTGCCGTTATTGCAAGCCCTCCCCTTGTATCCCAGCCCAGACTTTCTGTGACTGTCCAATCACACACTCCCCAATGCAGCTCAACGAGAAGTCTTTGCAAGGCAGGTGCTTTGGGTAATTGCTTTCTCTGGAGCAAAACAACACAGAAGTAACAGAACTGGCTGTCTAAATGAAAGCCAAGGGGTTTAACAAGGTTAATGTATAAAAGTGTTAATTTATAATAAAATCTGCATATTTGTAAAATAAAAAAAAAGATGACACACTCTTCACACATAAAGCATATAAACAAGGTGTTACATAGTTACATAGGCTGAAAAGAGATATGTGTCTGTAACG